TTTTTTGGGGGGGGGGGGAGTTGTTGTTGGTACATATAGTTTGATGACTCTTTTGACTTCAAGTAAAATATGTTGTAATGGTCTTCAACAGTATTGCATATAATATTCCTGTTCCACTACAAAGAAACCAAATCAAACTGTCCAATCTAGTCATCTTTTCCTATTGATGTTTATAGAATCTCCACAGTCAAGTGAACATTCTATTCAGTGCACTTTGTTGAAAAACAGAGGGAGATACCATATATTGTAGGAAAATAACTTTTATTAGATGAGTTGATTTCTTCTACTACAAGTCAATGTAACATTTATATTTTAAAGCTCAAATGAAAATTATCAAAGACTTTTTGAATTCCTTAAAAGGAAATGTATTACTCACAAGTATCAATCTTTCAGTTTCTTAGCACTTCTTTTACTATGAAAGCACATTTTCAAGTAATAATCATATGTATAAGATTGAAGAATACTATGGAATCTGCATTTATTTACAAATTGGACACATTTCTTCATTAAGTTATATGCTTAATGCTTTATTCAGCTATCTTGAATGCTTCAGGATAACCCTAAAAATGATAGTTGTGTGATCAATGCATTCAGAGTAGATTTTATTTATGATTTACAACCTAATGTTGCTGTCTTGTTACTTTTTCTTCCATGTGAAGTGAATCATTCTTCTGTTTACATTACCCTGATGAATCATTTATTAAAATGGTTCTTTTAGAACAATTCTTTTGAGGATACAATATAATGTGCTTTTTCAGTGTTGTTAAAATCTAAAAATCAATGAGTGTGGCATTCTATAGGCTTCTAAGCTGTAATCCTTTCTGTTGTATTAATATTAATTTACCTAATAATGTTTATTATTTTTATTACATAACTTGTTACATCTTCCCACAAATTCTAAAAAGGAGTAGCACATAATCTATCTGTAAATTATAGGAGAATGTAGATGATTTTAGCTAATCTTGAAAAATAGATCAGACCTGATTAATATTAAATGGATCTATAGCTATGTCACTTAACTCTTATCATCAGCAGATCTGTACCATCTCTAACTCCTAATTCTAATACTGCACTAAAGTATAATAGTGCCATATTGAATCAACATTAAATAGCCAAAATTGAAATCAAAATTATTAATACCTTAAAAAGTGAATAAAGAAGTTTCTGGCAGGTTTCTTGGAGATAGGAAAGTCAACTATAAGAAAAATAAATACATTGATAAATAAATATATATTATAATTTTTTATTATTATATTTGAATACTTCCAATATGTACCAACTTGACATACATTCCAGTTAATGTACATCAGATTATATCTACTTTCCTAATGTTTCCATATAAGAAAAAAATGCATCCAAACCAATATTGTTGTAAGTAATGTTTCCATAAATACCAGCTCTTAAACCACTCCTTATAGAACCTATAATTCCTAGGAGATTCAGAAAGTTTTGTTTTATCTTTTTATTTATTTATTTTTATGTGCTATGTAATAGTAGGAATATTCAGTTATCTAAAATTTCAGATTTTAGATTAAATCGGTGACAAGCTTGATTAATTCATAGATTTTGTTGCATGTACCATTAACATCTTAACATGTGTATGATTCTTATAAACACAAAACCAGGTAATTTAGTGACTCATATGTGTGTGTGTGTGTGTGTGTGTGTTATACACACACACACACACACACAAATATTAGTATAACTTTCTATCCTTTATTATAATTTTTCATTAATATAAAACAAAAATGGTGTTCAAATTTTTTGTTGCCTATTTCCATTGAAGTACAACCAATTACCATATTTTCCATAGAAATATAGCTTTGAATCGTGCACATTTAAATAATGCAAATATTTAGTTGGATTCATTGGCTACACTAGTCCAGACTTACTTGAATTTTAATTTTTTTAGGGCTTTCCAAAAAAGAAAACCTTAAGCTTTCTGACTACCATACAGGTAAATTAAAAAATATATAAAATATGAAGCTATAATATAATAAAAAGCATAAATCAACAAAATTAGCAGAAATATATTTAAAATGGGCATTTCTGACATTCCAAATATAGACTAAAGAATGGAATCTCTAGTAGCGCCCCCCATTAATTGATTCATGTCCTTAAATATGTTAAAATAGTATCAACAGATCTGAATTAAAGTCAATTAATCTAACATTTGTATTTAGAACTATAAAGGTGAGAAGGGAGGAGATGTCCTTTCCAATTTGCAAGATTGAGGTCAGCCTTACAAGATAATCTTAGACCAGAAGCACACCTGGAACTACTAGTTCTAACTTTATTATAAAGTTACATTAATGATCTTGCAAGTCTGAAAATATATTTGTCTCCTCCCCCCAATTGCTTTTTAAGGTACTAGAAGAACTAGAAAAGGTTGTTTGCCATGTCCACGTTACTTCTGCCACTTGTTTGACCATTATCTAGTCTGTAGCGCTTTCACCGTCTTCCAAGGTTATTCATATATATCTTTACAATGCCACAACATTGAAACTTGAATATTCATCTGGAATTATGATTGTATAGAACATGGTGGAGTGACTAAAAGATTGATACTGAGAAACTGAAAATACAACATTATCCAGATATTAGGTAAAAAATGTGGGATCTAACTGTTTTGAAAAAGGCAATGTTTTCTGCTAACCAAAGGATAGAGCAAATTATATCAGGTTGATAGAGATTTTGTAATATTTTACAGTAACAGCATATATTGTTTTACATTACATATAGATCATCGTGTATTACAGTGGCAGAATTACATATTATTTTCATAACATGGGAAGACTATTGTTGTTTTAACAAACTGGAAAAAAGTCTTCCTTGAGAAGGAGCTAGTAACATTCAATTTATCATGAACAAGAAAAGTAGTGTAGTATACATTTGATCAAAATCTACAATCAATCACTGGCTTTTGAATTTATTTACATCACTATTAAATATAGTGCTTTTAATTTTATATCGCTTTTAATTTTCTTGGTATACATCATAGCATCATGATGGATAAAATGAACTTCAAGCATCACTTATAAACACTTTATTCTACTGAAATGAATATGAATTTAACTGTTTTAATCTGATTAATGTATTTTATTTTTCTTATTGTTATATATTCAGTTTTTAATTTAACTTGAATACATATTGTATCTCTGCTTGTTTTTTATTTGTTATGAAAATATCTTGGAAGATGATATTCATCTATCTATCTATTTATCTATCATCTATCTATCATCTATCATCTATCAATTTTTCTATCTTTCTATCATCTATCCATCCATTTATCCAAGACAGTAAAATATAAAACATTTTTATGCATTTTGTAAGGGTAAAAAGCAATATTATATTTATTTTATGTGATTTTTATGATTAAATACTTTACCTCTGTAAGTATTCCTTTATCTCTAGTTATGAATAATAACATCATTACATATTCTACACTAACTACATTTCCTCAGAGGTTATATTTTAAAATGATGGAAAGCTTCATTATTTGTAAGCTCTTTAAATATAAATTTTATACACAAATATATAATGAAAAGGGAAAAAAGTCAGTGAGTGAATAAAATTTCTGAATGTTTGAATTCAAGACCAGTATTAAGAATGTGTTGATACAATATGACACTTAGGAATAAAATCCTTTCTCAAGTTGCAGAGCCCCCTGGATGGTTTGGGCTCAACACCATTTCTCAATCTTAATAAAGCTATAAGTCTGCTATACATATAAGAGAGAAGAGTGTGGAAGCATAAGGATTATCACTCTAATTGTTTTGTCCTGTCTGTGAGCTTTTTAATAAAGTCTCTAAAAACCTCTTGGACTTTCTGATTTCTAAAAGTGAATATGATGGGGTTTAGCAGAGGTATTATTGCAGTAGTGATCAAAGAGGCAATTTTATTGAGATTCATGGAGCTAGTTTGAGAAGGCCTGACATAAATGAAGATTGAGGTGCTATAGCCAATTGAAACAACTGTAAGGTGAGAAGCACAAGTTGAAAAGGCCTTTTGCCTTCCTGTAGCAGAAGGAATTTGCAGGATAGTATTTAGAATGTAAATGTAAGAGATCAGTGTCAGTAAAAGGGAACCTAGAATAACAGGAAGTGAGACAAGGAAATCAATAAACTCTAGTAAGTGGATATCAGCACAAGCTAAGTGAAGCAAAGGGGCACTGTCACAGAAAAAGTGATTGATTACATTGGGTCCACAGTAGGGCAAACCCAACTTCATCACAGTGGGAGTAAGAATGGAAAAGAAGCCACTCATCCAGGAAGCTAATACAAGAGAAATACAGACCTTCCCATTCATTTTGATAGTATAGTGAAGTGGATAGCATATGGCTACAAACCGATCATAAGACATCATTGCCAATAGGACATATTCAGATGTACCAAACAGAAAATAGAAGTATGATTGAATTAAACACCCAGAGAAGGAAATATTCTTCAATTCCAATAAGAAGTTTTGCAACATCTTTGGAACCACTGTTAGGGTTATCAGGATTTCAATCATGGACAGGTTACCCAGGAAGAAATACATTGGTGACTGGAGGCGGTAATCTGATGAAATCAGAATTATAATAAGGGTATTCCCAATCATTGCTGCCACAAAAATGAGGAAAAACAACAGGAAAAGGATAATCTCTATTTCCCAAGGATTGGGGAATCCAATTAAGATAAATTCTGTTATACTTGTTGCATTTCTTCTTTCTTTGTGTCTTCTCTCTAAATCTTTCCACATGTTCACCTAGAACAACAGGAAGCATAATGGAATTGAAGCTGGAAAAGGTTTTCTTGAAACCGTTTATTTCTCAATCTATCATTTGCTTATCTTAATATATTATAATATTATAAAACAATTGTACACTCTAAGAAGAAATTGTTTTGGTTTTCCAATATATTTAGTTATATATATATGAATCCATATGGACCAAATGATGAAGTTAATTTGTATTCAATATCAATTTCAGCAATAGTGATTAATCTAACACCCCAAGTTTTAAGTAACTTATCTGGGTTAGAATCAAATACCCTCTGATATCTATCTATTATAATAGCAGCATAGTAACATTATTGTATGTTTGAATAATAATAATCTATTGAGAATCATCACCAGCAAATATAGAGACACTCTAAAAAATACATGACCTGTCTTCCTAAAAATCTGAAATTTTTAAATGAGATTTTTCCCCGATTTCCAATACTTTGAAGTTTCTTTTGTCAGAAATTACAGATCCTTCTTCTGGGATAAGCACAATACTTTCTTCAAAATAGTCTGGAAAGATTCTGGAACTGGAACAGCAAGCCTTCTATTAAAATTTAGATCCATTTTTACAGCAAGATTGTAAGAGTTCTTTAAGAAATGAGTCAAGGGAAGTTACATATGAGTTTCAGAGATCCCTTAAATATTTTTATATTTTAGAGCTCTACTGAGAAGATTCTGTTTGTTATATATTCTGGGATACCATCAAAAGCATGCTAATGGCAGATTAATTCCTCATGGAAAAATATTTTTTTTCCATGTTCATTATTAGAGCAATACAGATGAGATGCAATAAAATGTTTATTTATTTTTTCAGTGTATTCCCATGTGGTCTATTATCATAAGATATATATATTTGCTTTATTCTTCTCTTTTGTGTTTTTAGATTTTTTTAATCTTCCCTTTATTATTTTATAAATAACTATATATCTAATATTCCTTTCTCCTCCTGTTTTTGTATAACAACAACTTATGTGGTTTGAGCTTTGGGCTGTGGGAGAGTGACTGGCCCAAAGTCACCCAGCTGGTTTATACAATACTAGAACTCACAGTTTTATGATTTCAGAGCTTTTGGATTCCAACTTTCTTTTTAAGCTACCTTCTAAAAGCTACCATGATGGTGCTAGCATATTTGTAGCAGACTTGGATTGATTTTGATGTTTTCAAAAGATTAAGGGTGGGAAACTAGAGATAGCCACACTTTCTTTTCCCCAACGACTCTCATTTCCAGCAATCATGATTACAACTAGAATATCAGGCTGAATCCGCGTAGTCTTCCATTTTGAAATTTCTCCTTCCCTCAACCTTATATTTGATAGTTCTCTCTCTCTTTTTTTTTTTTGTAAAATTTTTTATTGATTTTTAAAGACAAACATAAACAAACAAAACATAAAAAGATCAAACTTTCTTCCATAAGTATAGAAACAGTGTGCCAGTTGGTTTACAAAAAATTTTGTGCATCCATTTCATAGTCTTCAATTACAGTTACATTGCATAATAGCTCATATTATCAATCAGAAATTGAATACCCTAGTATCATTATTAATCAATCACAATAATTTTATTCATTCATATTTTGCGAGATAACTATAATTTATTTAGTATTATTTTGTAACAATTCATATAATCCTCCCAGATCTATCCTAAAAACATTTTGTAGATATAGTAAAAAAAGAAAAAAAATACATCTTTATATATTTATTATTTTCTAAAATTCTACATATTTCATTATTATATTTTATTATCTAACCATTGATAGAAAAGGTCCCAAATTTTATAAAATTGTTTATCCTTTTGTTCTCTGATTTCAAATGTCAATCTACTTATTTCAGCACATTCCAATATTTTCTTAATGATTTCCTCCTGCGATGGTATTTTCTCATTTTTCCAGTTTTTAGCAAATACAATCCTAGCCGCTGTTAATACATTTACAATCAGGTATTTCAAATCTTTGCTATATGTATCAGGTAAAATTCCCAATGAAAATATCTCTGCTTTCAAATCTATATGTTTTTTTGTCATTTTTTCCAACCACATGTGGATTTTAGTCCAGTATTTTCTAGCGTCCGCACAAGTCCACCACATATGGTAATATGAGCCAGGTATCTGATGACATTTCCAACATTTTTTGGATTTGTTCTTGAACATTCTTTCTATTCTTGTCGGGGGGAAATGCCACCTGTAAAACATCTTATACAAATTTTCTTTATATGCTGTTGACATTGTCATTTTATAATTTTGAGACCACAATTTTTGCCATTTCTCTAAATCAATCCCATATCCAAAATTCTTCCCCCAAGCAATCATAGTTTCTTTAACTTGTTCTTCTTCTAGTTTAATTTCTAATAAATATCCATACAGTTTTTTAATCACCTTTTCATCAGTACCTGTCAAAATCTTATCTAAGTCAGTCAATTTATCATAGAATCCTTCTGTTTTAAGATCTTTATCATACCTTGAATGTATTTGTGCATATGAAAACCAATTCATCTTTATACCTTGTTCCTCTAGCTTTTGCATAGATTTAAGTTCACCTTTTCATTCAATATTTCCCCATATCTAACTGTTTGTTCCTTCTTGTATATTATAGGATAGGGAAATGCTTCAATAGTCGGTAACCAGACTGGAATTTTCAAATAACATTGTCTTTTAGTCTTCTCCCAATTTAACCACAAGGACTCCCGTATATGATGTCTTCTAAAATATCCCTGTATTTTAGTTCCCTTGTACCATAAAAAAGCGTGCCACCCCAACAACAAATCATGTCCTTCTAATGTCAACAATCTAATATTTCTTAATGTTATCCATTCCTTGACCCACATCAAGTTTGTAGCTTGGTAATACAACTCCCAATTAGGCAAACCAAATCTTTATTATTGAAATTAAAATTAATCATTAATACTAGGTTCTAGGCTAGTACTCTTCTGACTGATCTCATATTTGCTTGACTAGGCTGCTTTTGGCTGATTTCAATGGGGTGGTGCTTGTTCAGAATGATTGATACTGGCATGTATGGAATATATTTAAACACTTAGTTGACTGCCTTTCTTTGATTTGAATTATCCTGACCCTGGCTAGAACAAATTAGCTTATTCCTTAACATTTGTCTTTTCTCATCTCAATTTTGCTATGTTCCTTACTGGGATTGTGCTAGCTGCTTAGCTTTTCTTATATCACACTTGCTGAACATATTAAGGGGGCTTACTAGCTAGGTTCTCTCTTTTTCTCTGCCATCTCTCTGCTGATCACCTTGCCAGCTGAATTCTTTGTCCCTCTGAAATCTTGTTAATAGCCAACCTGCTGGTAAAGCTATTGGACTACTGCTTGTGGTCCTAAATTCATCTGACCTAACTCATCCACTATCAATTATTTTTCATATCTCCATACAGTTTCAACATTACTAGCTTCCTTCTTGTTCTTTGATATCTTCTCTGATCCTGGATCTTTTTTGAATCTCTTTTGCCATTTCAGTGGCTCTGTAACACTGATTTCCCAATGATAAATACCAGTAAATGACAACTTTTTTTTACCCACTTAAAGAATTTCCAAATAGATAGCATACCTAAGGAGTTCTTGGTGCTATCTGATCTTGGCTATTTCTTGCAAACATCATTATCCAAATTAGGTGACATCATTAGTGCCTACGTACCTCTTAAGAATTTTTCTTCCCTGAGCACATCCACCAAGAACATGTAATTCTGGGCGGCTGCCAAAATGGAGTTGGGCAGGGGTGGGATTCAAATTTGTTAACAACCGGTTCTATGGGCATGGCTTAGTTGGTGGGTGTGGCTTGGTGGTCATGTGACTGGGTGGGTGTGGCCAACTCGACATTACTCACATCAAGGGGTGCTTCTCCTCGCCTGGCTTCTCATGACAGTGGGGATGCTGCAAATAGTTGTAAGTGTGAAAAGCAGTCATAAGTCATTTTTTTCATTGTAACTTTGAATGGACACTAAATGAACTGTTATAAGTCAAGGATTACTGTACAAAAATACAAAAAGCTTATTTGCTTGCAAAAAGCTTCCCTAAATACTAATCATTAGATTAGAAGACTTGCTGAATGTCACTCATCTTGGTTCCTTAAAAAGCTTCTTTCTGCAGCTCTGCTTGTAAAAAGCTTAAAACAACCCTTCGCCTTTAAGAAAGTATCAAGGCAGAAAGAAAACCTCCTTTGGAGACAGTAAGTCTAGGCATACTGCCAAGAATGTAATAAGGGTGGAAAAAAACAAAAGGAGATTTCTTTTAACTACCGGTTTTCCAAACTGCTTAGAAAGTTAACACGGTTCTATAGAACCGATCAGAATCGGTAGAATCCCATCTCTGGAGTTGGGAATGGGTGGGTTTTTATATCTTCTTTGGGCTTTGTATTTGAGCTTCTTGTTCCTGTACAAGAACATGCCCTTTATTGTTGTCAGATTTCTATGGGGTCATGTAGGGCCTAGCTGGCTCTATAGGAAAAAGAGGAAATGCAAGTCCGAGGTGGTTGTCTGAGCTAATTTTGTCAACCTTTTGTTTGTTGTCTTGGCCCAATCTTTCTAAATGGATTACCCAATCTGCATTTGTAAAAGCTGTCCTCCTCAGTTTCTGCTTGGTGCAGGGAAACTGGGGCTGATTTCTGCCTCCCTTAAGATTTTTTATTTCTCTTTTAGAGGAAATATTTTATCCTGCCTTTTTAATATTTCCCAAAATATTTCATTCTTGGGGGGAAGGCTTCCTACATGTTGAATAAGAATCCTAAAAGAATTTTAACATTCACCCACAATCATGGAGTCTGATCATCACATTTTGGACTTAGCAGTGTTGTGCAAACAAGCCTGCAAAAGAGGGAGTCACATTTGTGCATAACAGGTCCATAGTCTGGGGATCCTCTCAAATTCATAGTTTCTGTTGGTAGAAATCATAGACAGGAAGAACTCTATATAGTTTCCTCTGATGTGCTAGTTGTTGCCATCCTAGATTGGAAAACACTGCTGCTAGTT